AACATTGTTTTAAATAAAGAAATTTGATTTGTTAGATCGTTTATTTTTGTCTTCAGTTTCTTAATAATCAAGAATTTTTATTCTATTCTTTAAGATAGAATCTGCCTCAATTTCGAAAAACCGTAAAAAATTAATCGGACCCAACGAACCGCAAACTAAAATTTCTTATTATGTTACCCCATTCGTTTTGTTCGCCGATGTTGGTTTAAAAAGATGTGATTATTCCGTACATATGGATAGAAAGAACGTTTTAAAAATCGAGAGAAAAAAAATGTCGCTATAAAATATCAGAAGCGGGCTAAAGATCGCTTGAATTGTCAGCGTATTTTCCAATTTTCGACACACTTATTTAAAATGCTTTTCGGATAAATCTTTCGGCTTTCATCTTTAAAAACTGGTAATGTGGAAAGTGAAAATTATAGATTATGTGGAAAGGGTAAAGGAACGGATTCAAAGTTATTCTACCAATCCATAATGGAAAATTTCAATTATATACAACTGAACATTGTCGCCTAAGATGACATATGAGTGTCATAAATCTATTAGTAATAGAAAACATGTTTTTTTTATTGTCATTATTGAGTAACTAACTATTGTGTTAAAATTAAACTCTTTTGACTTTACGTTATATATATTTAAATCGTAATGACATTGATTATCCAAAGCCAGGTACATAGTATATAACGTGTAGGCCGTAGCAAGGAATATAGTATACAACAGTTTCTCCCCCCTTAGTTTTTTTTCCTATACAAAAAAATATATATTAACAACATTAAAATTAAAATATATTAAAATCCTAAACGTTTTACTGGTTTCCAAATGCGAGTGGATCGCCTTAATTCGGTGTTCTGTTGATGATCTAAATCGATGGCATCGAATGTAGGGGTTTCTGTTGGAAAACCGGATGTCTTCATTTTGGGTAGATCGATTTGGATGTAATGGGCTATTTGTTTCATTAATTAGCTCATCATTATGTGAAAGAGTGAAGTCATTTGTTTTTCTAATTTCAGTTTTTTTTTACGATTTGAAGTAGAGGCGATAGTTTCGTTTAAAGTAAAAGGAATAGATTCAACTGTAGATTGGTATGGATTTTCTATTTGACAGGGTTGAATTTGATTGTAGTGTGGTTTAACAGTATATCCATCATCCAGATTCACTAAATAATGCAATATCCCTAAACGTTCTATAATGGTTCCATACTTCCATTTACAAGAAGTTGAATAACTTCTCGACTGGACCCTATCCCCTAGGTTATAACTTTTCCCAAAATCAGGTTGTTCACTCACGTTTTTATGGTCTGCTTGTGGTCGATTGCAATCGAATTTTGTTCCTCCAATATTTCTGACAATTAATGAGTTCAGAAGCCGTGGACACAGAAATATGTTGTCTTATTTCAGGTTTCTGACATTTCATATGGAAACAACATGTAGCTAGGCTAATTTTTCTTCACCTTTGACCTCTTCCTTCAAAAAACCCATGAGTTTGGTTAATCGCAAATTTGTACATTTGTAACTGCTTAAAGATGAATCAGGATATCTTCGGAAAGATATGACTCAACCAAAGGGAATAACATCGAGATATATTTATCAGAGTTTATGCCTAAGGTCTCCAAGGACTGAAGCTGGCATTCAAGGCAATCATAAAGAGTGGCAAGATTAGTTTTACTCTTTAAATTGTTTAGAACTAATTTTAACAATTCACGAACATAAAATTCAATCAATAGTTCTTCATTTCCAAATATTGTTTTTAAATTATTAATAACTTTGCCATAGTTTTCTGCACTGGGCGGATAGCTTTCAATTAGTTGACGAGCTCTTGATTTCGGTGTTGTAGCCTCAAGCAGGTATTGAAGTTTATCTTCGGCTTCAATACTTGAATCATCGTGAATCCTCTTAAACTGGCTCCAATGTAGAATCCACCCTTTCAAATCTCCACCATATTTTTGGAGAGCTTCAATTTAGATTTCTAATAACTAGAGTAGCTTAAATAACTACCACAAATGCCCTGTGAAGAATTTCTTGCATAAATTTCTTCAGATCTAAACTTTAGTTGATTAAAATGGTCATTCAAATCATCAGATTTCTTTATTTTATTTATTAGATCTGATTGAACAGATTCGCCTTTATCTAATAAAAAATCAATCAGCTGCTTACTAAGAAGATTGATATTTTTAACATTGTTTCCAAAACATAAATACGACCTTTAATAGCGGTTAAATTGGGTTCAGGGATTTTTAAATCACCAGCTGTAACTTCATAAGCTTCAGTATAGGCCGTTTGCTAAATATTTAAAAGTAACTGAATTTTCTCCATGTCGAAAAAGAAACTGGTTCAAATTTAAGTCAAAGATCTCGGAAGTCAGAAGTAAAAACTGACAAAAGAGAGTTTGCTAATATAATAACTATAGTCAGCGACATTGTTTTAAAAGTTTCGTCATTTTTAATCACAACAAAAGATTATAATTTTAACGAAAGTGCCATAATATATGAATCCAAAAATGTATTGTTAGGGTTCTTAATAATAATATTGTGTTTATGAAAACTCTTTATTTATTACTGCCAACAACTACAATTATAAAGTATATTCGGATCGATGCTCCCGGCTAACTGACATATGACAAGACCCAGCCTAGTGTGATTTACCACCGTTGCCAAATCTCCCATTACTCTAACCTGACAGAACAAAAAATATTTCGCATGAATCTGATTTAAACTACTTTTTTTTCTTTATATCTTGTCCTGAATGTAGTAAATAATTTAGAAAGGAAAAAATTAACAAAAATCGGACTGCCTATAAAACGAAAACTTATGAAAGAAAGTGTTGTGGAACTACGTACAAATAAAAAACAAAAACTCATTAGCAGACATAAAATAACTGGAAGCTGTGCAGTAACTTCAAGTAATACTTCAAGCCCGTAAGTTCAACTAGTTTCAAGTGAAATAAATTTAACTTCATGAAAAAAGTCGAAATGGTGAGTGAGAATAAAAAATTAGATGAAAATGACGATATTTTCTGGAGCTTTCGTCTACATTATGCTTTTTCTAGCCTATCTATAACTGAGTCAGCAAGATTCGTCTTCTCTCTATCCTTATATTCTTAAGATTTACAGAGAAAACGCCGAATCTTCTTTCACATATATGGAACTTCTGTGACGGGGACTATACACGGAAAAAAAAAATTCCGAATATTTGTGGAGAATGTATTTTAGAGTTATTATCTACAATATTTAGTAAAAAGATCCAAATGCATCATAAGAATTGTTCTACAAATTGTTATAATTTTTGCTATTCATTGTATGAATTTATATTAAAAATGTATTGCGTTTTATGAAAATAAATACGAAAATTTTACACAATAAATAGTAAAAATTCATACAAATTGTAGTAATTTTTAATAAAATTTGTAGTAGTATTCCATAATTATTATAATTATAACCTAGAAAAAATTGTTCCTTAATAAAATATTCAATTTATTGTTTTAATATAAAAGATACAAATTCTTAATTACATTATGTAATAAATAACAGTAATAATAGCGCCCTCAGTCTCAGTTGGCTTTTCTGCACCTGAAAAATATGAAATAAAAATTAATACCAATTGAATTGTTCATACCCTTAAAACGGGGATATTTATCACCTTTACACTGATTTGGATATTAAATGACTAAGTCAGATAACTAACAAAAATGAGAAAGTAGGTATGTCACAATTAAGACAAAAAACATCATTGAACTTGGCACAAAATTCGATCGTTGGGCACAACATTCGATCGTTGGCCACAACTATTTTTTTAAAATAATCTACTAAGGTTATTTAAATTAGTTATTTAAAGGTAAATTATTCAGAAACAATAATAAATGTACTTACCACCAATAGAATTTATTATTAAAATTTTCTTAAACGCATCGGTGCTTATAATATAATGTGTTATAGGTACTCATATATGTACCATGCTTTGTTATGTGAACATGGCGAACGGCTACTGCCGTCTGGCCGTTTATGATCGACGTTATAGAATATTTTTGAAGAAGGGATGTAAAGTATTACTATTTTTTGTAGAGAAAATTACTATTTTTTTGTAGAGATAATTATTAATATTTGTACAAATTTTTACAGAAGTTAGTAGTAGTAATTAAGATAATTGTAATAAATTTCTACTTCTACAAACAATAGTAAAATATACTAAACATTGTGGACTTCTTTCCTATTGTTGTAGCATTTTATTCAACAATTCAATTGATACAATAATTAATAGTTTTTAACTATAAATTGTAGTAAAATTTTCTACAAATTGTTAAGTATTTTTCTATAAGTCTACTACTACAACATTGTAGTAAAATTTTCTAGTCACATTTTTTTCCGTGTACTACTCTACATTATCGGCTTTATTTGCAATTTAAATGCATTCATAATTGCTCATTCTTACCTCTTTTCTTGTAGATTCCGTACCCATTTTTCTTATTTTTAGTTAAGTTTACACTGCTCTTTTATTTTTTCTCTTCCACAGCTTTATTTCTACAATACTGTAACACTACAATATGGATCCATTTTTGTGATTTTTAGAATTTAATTTTAATCGAAATTGACCAACCTATTCTTATTTTATGTTGTTATTATAATAATTAAGGGTTATTGTATTACATACCTGAAGATGTCTCTGTAAGGCCAAAACTAGACGCTTTTATATTTATTTATAATTATATTGATGTATTGATTTTGAAGTTTAATTCTTTAATTGTAAAAATTAGACCTTTATGTTTTATTTCCTGCATCAGACACATCTAAGACGGTATACATTTTAAAAATAGTAAAATTAGCGAATTTTTTATTTTTTTTACATAAAGTGTGTTTATACAGAGAAATGGTACGTCACAAGAGGAGTTGTTTACCTTCCCCCTTGTGCTCGCTTCCTCACTTCCTTTACTGATGTTGCGAACACAACAATAACCTACAAACTCGTTTCACGCTTTATCTAGTAGTAATTACTCGGAGTGTTATTTTAGTGACAATACTACTGTCATTTACAAATATTTTAATTCTTAAACTATCAATGTAGCTTTATTTTATTTGTTTACATAATTTCTTTATAAAAATTATATGAACTAGATTATTCGAATTTTCGTAATTATGCCACTACCATTTATAGTAAGTATATTCAAATAATATATATTTATATTGATTTAAACGTTAGCATAGTTTAAACATTACCATCAGGGTGTAGTAATTGTAGTTTATCCCTACAGCTTTGTCAGCATTCCTAAATAGACCTTTACAAATATATTATAAGACTATGTAGTCGTGTATATAATAAAAATAGTCTAAGACCTAGCAGCGGACATAACAATTTTCCCTATTTTCTCATAGTTTCTTAATGAAAATGGTAGTACTTGAATCTTAAAACACTTTTCTTACTATTGAAAATGCTGTCAAAATTTTATTATTCTATACACTAGCAGTTCTTTTTTGCATCCACTCCAATCATGTTATAACTCAACTAATAGCTCGTAAATATTTTTCTCTATGTGTTTACTTTTTTCTGTTCTAATTACGTTAACGGCCCTATTTCTTGTATTTGTATTAATTCCAATTATTTTCTGTTTTTTCTTGTGAATAATTTTTATATGCAAGGTATCTGTACCTTGTGGCAGCTTTAACATTTTCATTCCACCATTTTTTGAATTTAGGATTTTTTTTTTGTTTTTTTGGCGCTACAAAATCTAATACGTTTAAAATATTTGTTACAAAATTATCATATTTTGCATTAATGTCATAAATATGATAGTTCCATGCTAATGTTGTAAGTTTGTTATTAATTAAATCAAAATTTAAGTCCTTACCTCGGCTTTCAATTTTAAAAGCAGGTGACCCATCACTATTTAATAGCACATTTGTTAAAATCAAGAAAATTATCTAAAATTCTTGGTGTTTTAATAACCTCAGCTGAAATTGAGTCATTATTTGTTATAACTAAATCTATTAGTGTACATCCACCACTTCTATTTGGTCTTGTGCATTCTGTACTTAGATTAAAGAGACCGAAGATGTAACATTGCACACTGCACATGTTGTCTATTTTAAGCCAAAGTAAACCACCAATTGAAAATCATTGTTGCACGACGCCACCCGAATTGCTCCGATTTCCATTCAGCGATCACCTCCACTTGAGTTTAATCACCATTGACAGCTGTTTTTTGATTTATTTGTTGGTATTTTAGCAATTTAAAGTGTTATAGTTATTCAATTTCAAGTTCAAAATGTCACGATGTATCTTGAAAAATTGTATGTACTTATAATACAAGTACTACTGTTATGAATATATTCGTTTTCAGCGGTAAATATTTATTAACGTTTTGACATAAAGCGCCATGATTCTCTGGGCTGAATACTTCAGATCCGCATTAAGGGATTTCAATAAATATTAAGCATCAGAAATCAGATTTCATATTACTTACATAAATTTACAAAAGGGTAAAATTTTGAACATTTAATTTAAATAAATAGTAAATAGGCATTATTGCTAACGAAATTTTGTATTTAAAAAGTAGTTTTATAAGAATGTTTTCTAAAGGTAGTTTTTAGCCCTTTTTGGTAGATAAATAAGAGGTAAAGAATCATAGTTGCTAGCTAAATTTTATTTTTATAAGGTATTTTTATAAGGTATTTTTATAAGGTATTTTTATAAGGTATTTTTATAAGGTATTTTTATAAGGTATTTTTATAAGGTATTTTTATAAGGTATTTTTATAAGGTATTTTTATAAGGTATTTTTATAAGGTATTTTTATAAGGTATTTTTATAAGGTATTTTTATAAGGTATTTTTATAAGGTATTTTTATAAGGTATTTTTATAAGGTATTTTTATAAGGTATTTTTATAAGGTATTTTTATAAGGTAATTTTATAAGGTATTTTTATAAGGTATTTTTATAAGGTATTTTTATAAGGTATTTTTATAAGGTATTTTTATAAGGTATTTTTATAAGGTATTTTTATAAGGTATTTTTATAAGGTATTTTTATAAGGTATTTTTATAAGGTATTTTTATAAGGTATTTTTATAAGGTATTTTTATAAGGTATTTTTATAAGAATATTAGATGAAATACAGGATGACCTACTTAAAATTTCAAGGTTCATCTTATTTGCGGTCAAATCGAAAGTGACATTGAATTTTCAGTCTTAAAACAAAGTAATCTAGTATAAGCAAAAAAAAATACTAAAGTTACAGGAGTTAGGTCCGATTCCACAGTTGTGTTAAACGGAGATTAAAATGACAGTGTTAATGTAAAAATGTCATTTTAAAGTTCGTTTAACACAACGGTGGAATCGACCCTTAGTCACGTCAATAAAATGTTACATTACAAACCCCTAAACAACTCGAACATAATTTTCGTTTACTAAAAAAAATCCAAAATTTAGCAATATTTATTTATTATACAATCGAATGCGATTTCAAAGATAACTGGATCAAAAAATCCGAATCTCTAAATTTTGGAGCTAAATGCTCAGATAAAAGCAAGCGACTGATAGGGGTTACAAAAATAATCGATTTATCGATAATTCTGATATTTTTTAATGAAAATCGATTTATCCGCTGTTTTTAATAAATTATTTTCGTTTTTTTTTAAGATAATGTATTAATCGATTTTAAAGGAAATACAAAAAAAGTAGATTTATTCAAAATAATCGATTTATCGTTTAATCGGTTTTTTAATTATTTGATTTGATTTGATTTTCGATTTTTCAAAGATATATGAAAATAATCGATTGGATATAATCGGTTATTTTACATAATCGATATTTTGGTTATTTTTTTTTTTAATTATCGATTTATTGGATAATCAGCTTTTTAATAATCAATTATTTTCGATAATCGAATAATCAATTTCAAAGGAAATATGAAAAAAGGATTATTAGAAAATAATAGATAATTCGTTTTATTTTTTGGAAAATCGATTTATCATAGAATCGGCTTCTTAATTAATTGGTTATTTTCGATTAGGCGATTATTTTGGAACTATTGATTATTTTTGGTATTTCAAAGATAATCGAATTATCGATTTTAAAGGAAATACAATAAAAATAGATTATTGATAATAATAAACGATAATTCTATTTATATTATATTTTGTAAACACTGATTTGTCGTTTAATTGGCTTTTTAATTAATCGATTATTTTTGATTTTTCAAAGATAATCAAGTAGTCGATTTTAAAGGAAATGACAAAAAATATATTGTTTGAAAATAATCGATTCATCGAAAATAATCGATTATTTTCAATGATCGATAATTTATTTCGATAATCACTCATCCCTAGCGACCAAATGACTTTTAATAAATTTAAATTTTAAAATGTTATCTGGTTTCAGACATATGCATTTCTAGAGTTTTATGTGACTCATCCTTCATAATAATTAATATTCTTAAAGAAAAGCCTTAATATACTTTTTTCTGAGGTTACAATACAAAACAGCATTTTCTCATTTTGACTAATTTTTAATAATATGTAATAGCCGTAGAAAAAATATAATATTCAACTCATAAGGGTAGATTTGCAGTATTAGCCTGCGCACATGCTATTTTTATAATACTCGTAGACAATGAGTAACATTTTTTGCTCTATTAACAATATACTATTTCAACATTTTACTGTAATCTCTTGCAGAAAAGTCCGTAGTAAATAAACGCTAACGAAATATTCTATAAAAGATCTTCTCTTTACATAAAATATCGTGGCATCTGTTTGATATTAAAAAATCACGTTAATTTTATTTCATAATACAAAATTCGATTAAACACCTTTTAAATAAACCTAATAGTTCATTAAGATGCTAATAAACAAAGTCCGGTCCCTGTCACAGAGTTCGGGTCGCCGCGTGTCGCCACCCAGTTCCCCCACTCCGTTAACCCTTCTTTAGAAATTGGCAACATTTGCGCAGGTTTAAAACCGGTGTATGTTATATCTCTGGTCTCTTTTATCTAAGATTCCGTAACAATATTTTTTAATCCAGTATTAATCAAAATATCACTTAATTTCGCACTGTCAACAGGTCAATATTAAAATCTCCAGAAACAATAACTATTTGAGAATTATCACATAATTTTTCTTCAGCTCAAGTTCTAAAACAATCTAAAAAATTTATAAAGCTACTGCTAGGTGACCTATATAACGATACAATTAAAATAATTTTGTTTCCTAATATTACCATCACAGAAACAATCCATAAAAATTTTGGAATACAAAATTTTAAATAGTTTAAAACTTTCAGTTCACTTTGTACATAAATTAAAGCACCCCCTGTGTGTCTACTTTCACTGTCAGCTCTATAATTTTTATATCCGTCAATCCTGGTTCTAAGTCATTTGGTTTTTTTGATAACAAAGTGTCGATTTCAAATCTATCAACTAGTTTTCGTACGTTTTTTATCCTTTTCTAGGGTTTCAATTGATATTTACAATCTCTTTTGGATGTCCGTTAGTTCCTCTTTAGTTTTCTCCATTACAAGAAAAAGTTCCTAACTCAGTTCCAGTTCTGCTATAATATCTATATTTTTTTCTGTTAAAATTTTAATTTCATTCTTTAAATTAGTTATTAGCATCTGATTCTCGTCCCTATCTGAAGCAATTTTTTTGTCAATTTCAGAAAAGTTAATCTCCAAATTTTTATTATATGACATTACAGTTCATCAAATTTCTAGAGGCTTTCGACGGCTAGACAGAGAAAGCACTACTGACAGGCATCCCGACGGATTTACGCAATGAAAGTACACTCTGCGTATCAAGTATTTCACTATTTCATTCAGACGTAAATGTCAGATGTAAATTTCGCTAAAACATTTCTTTTATTTTCGTTTGTGTTTTTTGCTCATTACAGTTTAATAGAACCTAATATGGAGTTTAATAGCAAATTAAGAGGCCGCGTGATTAACAGTCAATCTCGCGAAATAATAGCCAATGTTATTTGGAGATTTGGAGATTTGGAGATTTGGAGATTTGGAGATTTGGAGATTTGGAGATTTGGAGATTTGGAGATTTGGAGATTTGGAGATTTGGAGATTTGGAGATTTGGAGATTTGGAGATTTGGAGATTTGGAGACTTGGAGATTTGGAGATTTGGAGATTTGGAGATTTGGAGATTTGGAGATTTGAAGATTTGGAAAGTTGGAGATTTGGAGATTTGGAGATTTGGAGATTTGGAGATTTGGAGATTTGGAGATTTGGAGATTTGGAGATTTGGAGATTTGGAGATTTGAAGATTTGAAGATTTGGAGATTTGGAGATTTGGAAAGTTGGAGATTTGGAGATTTGGAGATTTGGAGATTTGGAGATTTGGAGATTTGGAGATTTGGAGATTTGGTTTATGAGAAGAGAAGGAAACTTTAATTCACCTTCAATACCATTTAAAAATGTAAATGATCGTGTTGCTGCAGCCACAGGAGTATCTAAAAACACTGTCGTCCGCATTTCTGGAGAGAAAAAAAGAATCGATAACCGTGAGATATCGGAATTTTCATCACCAAGAAAAACCATTAAAAAACCAAAAACAGTTAATGATATAGATGAAACTGCACAAGAATCAAATTTTATTTTTTTATTATTAGATAGCTATTTTTGTTTCTGAGTTGTGTTCATTTACAGGCTCAATTTTTTTCTGTTTCTCCTTTTTACTTTCCTATCTGTATACAGATATAAGGAAAGTATAGGAATCATGATTTTTTTCGACCTCGAGTTTTCGACGGATTTTTACGTTTTGAGGTCCCCTGAATCCGTTTTGACTATTTTCGCGATGATGTCTGTGTGTGTGTGTCTGTGTGTCTGTGTGTGTGTCTGTATAACGCATAACTCATGAACCGATACACAGAAAAACACCAAATTTTAAACTTAAGCTTTGTTTCAGCGTCCAATGAGCTGATTAGATTTTGGGCAGTGTCGGAACATCTGGGGGGGTACTTTATAGGTGGTCATTTTTATATTTTATGGAATATATCTGTTATTTACGTTTGGAGAAGAAAATTCTTTAAATAAAAGTTACTTCTAATATAATTATCTATAATTTTTGTTTTATGCAAAATTTTCCTAAAATGGTCCGTATTCGAGAAATTTGACAAAATGTAAAAACATAATTTTTTATAAAAATTGTTCAAATAAAAGTTGTTTATAATATAATTCTCTATAATTTTTGTCCTATACATAATTTCTCTAAAATGGACCGTATTCGAGATATTTGAGAAAATGTGTAAATTTCGAAATTTGAAGAAAACTCAAAAACGGATAAAGGAAAAAACATTAAATTTTAAACTTAAGGTTTATTTCGGCCTGACGTGAAATGATTAGATTTTGGACAAAGTCGGAACATCTGGGGGGGTACTTTATGGGAGGCCGTTTTTATATTTTATGGAATATATCTGTTATTTATGTTTGGAGAAGAAAATTGTTCAAATAAAAGTTACTTCTAATATTATTATCTATAATTTTTGTTTTATGTCAAAATTTCCTGAAATGGTCCGTATTCGAGAAATTTGACAAAATGTGCAAAATTCTGATTTTTATGAAAATTGTTGAACTAAAAGTTGTTTGCGATATCGATTTCTATAATTTTTGTTTATACATGATTTTTCTAAAACGGACCGTAATGGAAAAGTGCTAAATTTAAATTTTTCTGTATTTTCGTTTTCAATGAATATCTATAGAAAAATGTTTCGAGGTAGATGTATGTGTAAAATGTATATATTTAGTTTATCCTCTAAACATTTATAGAGATGCTGCAATAGGTTCTACAAAATAACCGGCAAATGCCTATAATAACTAGATAGGAAAGTCATGTGTTGGACACATCAGATTTTTGATTTTATATGGGGTTTCAAGTTGTTTTTGACTTATTTCGACGTAAATCACAACACACTTTTTTAATAAAGCAAACAAGTGTTAAGAGGTATATGTACGTGTAAACTACAATTACAAAAAATTGATATGAAACCCATGAAACCACCAAAGCTAGCTTCCGTACTAGAACATGGTGTCATTCGTCGAGATAATTTATCGTTTTGTTTAATAGATCAAGAAATGTAAATATTCCCGTTATTTTTTATAAAATTATAAGAGAAATAATTTTTTTTCTAAATAGTATAGTTTATTATTTTGTAGAAAAACAAAATTTCGAAAATTTTAGTAATGTTTCAGAAACAACCGTTATTAATAATAGGTACCATTTTCCTTAATAAGGTAGAAATAAAATATAAACTATTTCCACGATTTACAAAGGCCTACAAAAAAATTATAGGTATTTTCCGCTATCCTATAAAATTTATATTTTCTGACTCAATTTCAAAAGGTTGAAGGAATTCCAAAACACCTTTTATGGCATAATAATTATTTTCAATTCTACATACTATCTTTAGCTGCTTTTAAAAACGTTCTAAGAAAGTCCAATCAGACCAATTTAATCCCTAAACTATTCCACACTTTTAAAATTTAATTACCTAAAAATATTAAAAACTATTTAAAATAACTTGTTTAGCAGACTGTACAATAGCTATCTTAGTCACACGTAGCGCGTTCTCTGTCTGGGCGTCGAACACCTCTAGAAATTTGATGAACTGTACTGCCTTCTTATCATAAAAATACTTTCATTTTGTTGCTATGTACAATTTTTGACATATTTTATTATACGCACTCCCTAGCGTGAGTAAAGTACGTACTTTACAATTTAATTGTACTAAATATACTGTTTTTAAACTACTAAATTTCTGCTTTTTTAATACACAAAAATAAATTCACTTATTCAATTATTTCAGCTACATACCCATGAAGAACTTCATCCCAATTTGTTCCGAAGACAGATTACGTTGCACTCTCCTACACGTCGTTTTTTGACGCCGTTCATTAAGACATCTGATTGGGAATGTTATCCACTATCTCGACCAATTGACTGTAATCCTTTATGTCCAGAAAAGTATAGCCTTTCCAGATCCCACTATAATCGTCTTGGTATCGAAACTGACGAAGACTGGAGTACAGCTACTAAAGATATGTTTAAATATCAAGAGAATAAGAAAAGGAACGATTTGGAAGTGAATCCGGATAAATCTCTTGTTAATTTCTTTACGAGTGTTAAGTAAGTTCATGTTGATATATTATTTTTTTTTTTTTTTTTAATTTTTATAGTATACATTTTGTACTCTACTAAGAGGAGCGGTTCAAATTTAAATTGACAATTCTGTAGACTTCTGGTTGCTCAGATTGCAGTCAGTTTCACTCATTGCTTTTGAGCTGATAAATCGTTATCGTTGATAATTCTGACATTTTATATTAAAGTTTTGTCATTGCTTTTATATCTCATCACTATTACTTAGTTTTTTTATTTTATTTCGTTATTAACAGTTCTTTTCAGAACTTAAGTAAGCAATTGTATTGAATGTCTACCATTATGGATACTTCTACATCGAATACTATTATAGAGTTCACCAAAACAACAAAAACGAACGAGTTCATGCCTTTTAAGCCTCTCAGAAACGCAGTAAAAAATAAATATGTACAAATAGGCATTTCATAAGTGTTTTACATTTTTCTAGGACATTTTATTTTCCTATTTCCCTGCTATAGAAGTTATCCTCCTTTTCAGAGTGGTCTGCCCTGATTACAAAAGTAACCTGTGCCGTGTGCGCGTGTGAGATCTGTGTGGTAGGTTGTGTTCCCCAAAAATATCGCAAATTTTGCTATTTCCAACCCAGTATAAGGTGAGGAATATAATTTAGGAAAACCACAAAATCAAAATGACGATATTGTACAAATATTATGAATTTCTAATTATATGATTAGGAAAGGTTTATCTAATGCTTAGGGGGGCTGCTTCCAGCAGATCCTGAAGTTCAGCGGGAGGGGGAGGTCTTGGGAGTATGAGAGAAGTCTCAGATTAGGTTGTGGCATTTTTCTTTTCGATTTTCGAAAAAGTGGAACTTGGTTTGGGCGCTATGGGATTCGTAGAGTATCTTGTGAGTGTGTGTTGGTGCCTTTCAGCGTGCAAGGGACGTATTGTTTCCTAAGGGTTTGGAAACATGTGAGGATGAGGGTGTTGGAGATATTTTCAAAAACTTCTCCGCTGGAGCAGCAAGAGGGGAGATATTGGCAACGTCTGAGTATACATCTCTCGAGTGTGGTGAATTTGTGGGACAAGTGTGTGGGAAGTACGCCGTGGGGTACAGCTCTGTAAGTGTGAATAAGGGTGTTTGTGTTGCAAAGCCCCATTCGTCCGCACAAAGTCCCAAGAAGACTGGCTCGTTTTCGCATCTTCTCAAGAGAGCGTTGGACATCCGAGGACCAGTTAAGTGTACGAGAAAATCGTACCCCCAAATAGTCAACTTAAGTCTGTTGAGCGAGCCTGACTACCAGGAGATTTACATTTACGAGTTGGGGGTTCTCGGAGGTTCTTTGAGAATTTGGATGTTTAAACACAATTAATTGTGTTTTCTGCGGATTTAATGAGACCCTCCATTTGCTACACCAGTGAGAGTACGGGTTTAACAGATTTTGGGTTCGAATATTTAGTTGGTTAGAATTTTTGGCTATCGAGATTAGAGCTGTATCGTCGGCGTATAGAAGGCATTTGGATGTAATGTGGTTTGGGGGGGAATGTCGTGAGTGTAGATGAGGTTGAGGAGAGGGGCCAGGACGGAGCCCTGTGGAATACCCGCAAGTGGGGTGAATGTGTCTGATAAAGAATTGCCCACTTTGATGTTGATTTTTCTGCCTGAGAGATAGGAATGTATGAGTTTGTAGATTTGGGGGGGAGACCTATATTTATAAGCTTTTTGACTAGTTCGGTATGCCAGACTTGGTCAAAGACTTTTTGAACATCTAATAGAACGGCTGAAGAGATTTGTTGAGAGTTTACTGCAATGACCGCAGTAGTGTGAAGGGAGGAGATTACGTCCTGTGGGGAGTGGTGGGGTCTGAAATCATGTTGGGATTGAGGGATGATGTTTCTTTCTTTACAAAATTCCCAGATTTTTTCTTCTGAGTCAGTTTAGTCGATTGCTTCTCCTTTTATACATCACGGCGGTGGCAAGGGATACCCCCTCTCTTGAAGTAGAAGGGAACGCTCGACTCGTTGGGTCGCTGCTTGGAGGTATGTTTGGGAAACCAGTGGCGTAGCTTTATTAACGGTATTTTATTATCGTAGAAAAGCATAGCTAGACCATCGATTGCTATAGATGCAGAAAGTAGGGAGATAATTCAAGAGTTTTGATAATGTACACTGGCAATCTAATTTTAATAAAATTAACAAACTTAATTTTTGAAAACGAGAATATTGGTAGGGGTGGTGGCAGTAATACCCATAGGGTTATTTTCTTGAATAGAAAATATTCAGCAATTTTACTGTGTAACAACTGAAAGAAGACTTATTTGTAGATGAACAATACATCTGTTTTATTTAAACATTTAACAATTACATATAAATAATTTAAAAAAGTAACTGGTATACAAATTCAACGTGTCTGTCTCAGATAAATTATAAGATAAAAACACAAACCAACTATTTTTTGCAGCTTGCCTGTGCAAGATTATATTCCTCTGGTAATATCTTTTAGTTGGAGCTTCTTTAATCTCACATTCCTTTGTTTTTATTTTATAGTTTCGTACCATATTTACAGCTGCAAAAATGCAAAATATAATATTAGATTGTTTAGCCTCAAAGATGTTTATTACATTACAAAAATAAAATGTTTAATAATGGCAAAAAATATCATAATATTAAGGTAATATTATATGCACAGCTTTAGAAATAATTTAAAACCATTCACTTCTATTTCAAGATGCACTCGCAATTATAACTTTACTTCAAAGTTTCTTGTATATTATTTAAAATAAATGACCGTTTCTTCTACATTTGTTGCCTTTATTTAAAATTTTAAAATACCAAGATGTAGGCTACCAGTTTAACATTTTGAATAAATGTGTTGTCTAATTGCATCAAAATGGGCGCGCCCTGTGTTGGGTATATCAAACGTCTCTCTTGCACCGTATAGTAATCAAAGTATGTTACGGCACCAGTAAGTTATCTATATTTCATTTGTTTATTTGAGATGTAATGTGATACAAATTATTTTAATTTATTGATCACTGAGTGTTTTTTTAAAATAAAATCTTTCTCTATAAAGAATCCCAAATTTTCTTGTACCCAAGCCTACTACACCTCTTAGTATCATTTATCCTCTTTATTCTATCTCAAAGGAACGACATAAATTATTACAATATAAACAAAATTTTAATAGGCTCCTAAATTTTAATGAGTGTTCTTACAACTGGTTGAATTGAATGAGAAATTTAATATTGACTCAATATAAGATGAGGAGAATGTCGGTATTTGAGCAAAAACAAGTATAAACAATGAGATCAAAATGGTGGATACTGTATTCCAATAAGTTTTGATTAAGAGCGTCATAAATTATTTTTAGAAATTTTGAAAAACTATTTAATTTCGTATAATGCATTTGCTGCAACAAATCATGTTTGTCATTTTAATATTTTCTTAAATAGTTCATTTGAATTGAGTTAATAAATATTTTTTAGAGAAGAAGGTCCTCCAATCGAACTTCGACGAAAAGATTGTATACCTTTAGTTACAACCATGCAGTATTGTTATCCATCTCACTTCCCGAAATCTGCGAAAAAAGTAAGAATATTTCTTTATCACGTAATCAATTCCTGTTAAATTTATTTTTGATCATGAAACAATTGAAGTAATTTAATGATTCTTCTCATGCAGTGGTTCTTTACATTTGCGTCATATGCATACGAAATGTATCTAAAAATTTTATTTAACATAATTAAATATTGAAGCACGGGTTACTGCTCCAAACAATGTTTAAATAGTATATTTTCTGTTTGCACATTTTAAATATAAAAAACACACAAAAACCTAACATATTTTGAGTAACTTCTAACATCAATCCATCGTTTTATTTGAAAAGAAACACTTTTTTGTTACAATTAAAAAAAGTGATTTTAATTTAGTGAAAACTGAAACGTATTGCTAGCAAAAATGAAGAGGCGCATAGTAATTCTAGCTACTGGTCTGGTTTCGAAGAACTTGGAGTTATAGGTATCTAAAACAAATAAACCTCAATGACAAAAATATCTTCACAACAATGCAAAAGTTAGTTATACTAGAAACGTGTCAATGGGCCATGTTCACATGTGAGATATGCTGTTTTATAAATTATATTATAATAGTTAGTCGCTATACAAGTTATTCTAAATAGTCAGTTCGTTAAAAAAGCCAAAAGTTTTTAAATTAAGCCCAATTGAAATTTAAAATTTGAAATTATACGTCATCGGGAATAGACCAATCATCTTGTGTCGAAGTTTTTTTTGTTATACAAAACCAAGCCAACGAACAAACCGACACACAGAATGTCGAAGTGAACGCACATCTAAGTGACATTAACATTGACACCACCTAACACCTAACCTTAGTTTTTTTGTTTTGGTTTAATTTTATTATTAATATGGATCAGCTGGATTTATAAAAGTTGAATCAAGTGTTTTACCCATTGTAAACGAAAATATAATTACCGAGATGATTACTGCATTTTTTAACAATACTCAGTTTACAAAAGTCAGGAAGGTAAGACTTTGTTTTAATAGTAGGTATTTACAGTTTATATGTAGCCAATACACCTTATAGTAAAACATATTTATCTCAGGTTTTATTTTTAGATCTGCCAAGCAAGAATATGGGGATAATTTCTTTTTCCATAAGAGAGAAGGAGACAAATTACACCTAAACATAAAGTACGGCAAAAACCTTCTGATGTGCTTGTTGTAATTAACAAAAATGAAATTTTTAGTGCACAATATGCTTAGGATATGCTGCATGTCAAGGTTTGTAATATTTATTATGTTTTTGTTTCTATATCACATATAATAAACAGTGTATAAGGCCTTTTATTTCTATAAATATTTTTTTTCTAATTTTAACATATAGACATTTTTTGTAATCGCAGCAAGTGTTAAAATAATCTAGAAACAGATTTTGTTAGTGAACCTAGTAATAATTATGATACCAAAGAATGCTGCAGAGCACCTATGAAATTTTGAGTTAAAAAATATGCCATATTTTTAGGCTATTTTTATACCCTTTTCAAAAATTTTATGCTCCTCGTTTTTTGCAAAACTTAAAATGCTCTGATAGCCTTCGAACGAAGTCAGCAAAGCACCTCTGTTTTATAAAGTTTTTTCTGTAAAAACAGCAACACCATATATTTATGCACTTGAAATATTATATTTTTAAAAAATACATGGTGCTTCTTGCTAACCTTCGAAAGAAGCCAGCAGAGCAATTCGGTTTTTTAAAGCTTTTTTCTAAAAACCACACCCCATTTTTAGACTCTTGAAATATTGTAAAACTTTACTAAAAAAATTGCTATTTTTAAATAATACAGGGTGCTTTGTTGGAACAAAGTCAGCAGGACACTTCAGTTTTTTAATTTGTTTTTTTTATATATAAAAACAACTACTTATGACACATGTTTAGGCTGTTTTAAAATCCTAAAAATGTGGTAAGTATATTTGTTTTCAGAAAAAAAACTTTGAAGTCAGCAAGGAATTGCAAATTTTTTTAAAAATGCCAAATTTCGAATATTTTATAATATTGTAGGAGCCAAAAAACGTGGTGTGGTTTAAAAAAAAACTGGGGTGCTCTGCTGGATTCGTTTGAAGCTAACAAAGCATCCCGTAATTTTTTATTTTATAATACTCAATAGCCTAAAAATTTGTACTTTTAAAAATAGCAGTTTTTTTCCAAAAGCTCTATATTTCAAAAATGTGGTGAGATTGTTTTTTTTTTTAACTTTTGAAAATCCGAGGTTCTTTACTAGATTCGTTCAGAGCATTTTGTAGCTGGTTATATAGTTATTTTGTAACTGCATATCTCTTTTATTTTTTTCAGGTGGTTATAAACATGTGGCTTCATAGAAGAAGTGAGGAACCATCTGTAACATCTACTCAGTGTTATTGGAAAGGCTCTAATTTATCAAAATGCGTAAATATTGATGTACACTTGGCTAGATTGTTAAAGAAACCTCTTCATCCACTACAGGAAAATAAATCAGTACTTTTATATTCTTAGGATTCGTATATATATATATTTTTTATTTGTAAATAAATTGTTTTTTACTTCATTTTTCTCATTTTTTATTAAAAGGTTGATAAATAAAATTTTCACAGATTTTTATATTTTTGTTTGTAAACAATAATTGAAAAGTTTTTATTAAAAATCGCCAATGTTAATAATAATAACTTAAGTCAATATTATTCTTTCTCCTTTTTTAAAGCTACTATCAATAAAGGTATTACTTTAGCTTGACCTATGATCAATTTTTAATTTTGTGATATATTTGGTTTGACAGAAAAAAACTTATAACCTTTTGACATTGGTTTTTACTTAGATTTTCATAAAAAATAAATGGAACTGCAAACATGTTTTACTATCGTAATAACGAATAGCAACATAAAATTTTTTTTTCACATTTATTACTGTTGTCATTTTCATAAAGGATTGATAAGAAGGCACACTTTCTGGTTTTTTGAAAAAGGTAGCAAGAATTGTGATATTTTTAAATTTATCACCAGTGATACCACATGTAGTTACCCGATTTATTGGAATATATAGACTTTGCTACCACATTCAACTGAACTTGGTTGTTTTTAATATTTATCACCGCGACATAGGCGTTTTTGTTAAAATGTTTCATTTTAAACTGCTGTAAATAGGTGCCTTTGTTTTGGTAGTTTTAGTCCCAAAAAAATCTATGCATATACAGGTACTCATTCCTCTTTGATTTGCTCGAAAAGTTAAATTTTTATCAAAAATTACATTGGCTGTTTAAAAACTCATTATAATCCCTGAAATGTGATAATTAGGTAAATTAAATTAAAAAACAAACAAAAAAGTTTATTAAATTAATATTTACTCTTACAAAATAGGTTCTTGTAAGTTAACAAGCAATTATGCAGATATTACTAAGTAAATGTACTTGCTTAAAATTCACACACGAATGTGGTTTTAACATGTTAAATTAACTAACCCTTCTTATAACTCTTTCCACATGTATGTATTCTTAGAGATGCTATTCTTTTAATTAATTGTACATCTTCTGGAGAACTTTTTCATTCTGTGATACACTAGGTGTGGCTTTACTAAAGTGCATCCCATGTTTTCAAGTAGCTGAATATTCTGAAACCCCTATCTGCCATTATATGGGATCCAGGAACCAGTTTGTTTAAATACCCACATTTTTCTATTATTTCTTTATCACTAGTTCTTCCACAAAATGATGAATAAAACTTTCAGGAGATTCTGCATTTTCTTCCAGAAGGGTTTTTAGGTTATACACCTAAGAATTTATAGTAGCCTCATTTTCAATTTCCTGAAGGGGACAATTCGCAGAAATTGCTACTACATCTTGATAATCCGGTGTATTTTTATTAAAAAGTTCACGAGAAACATCGCCAGTAGAAGGTTGATTTTCTTCTTTCCAAATTTCTAGGAACACTAATAAATATTTTTGAAGATGAATGTGAATCATTATCACATTCTGGAACAAAACACTTTTTCGTAGTCATAATATTTATAAAAAGTACAAAATTAAACACTCAAATTCCAAATAAATTCTTGATCACAGTTCTTGATCGAGACACTATGACAGATGCCATATACAGTGCTGCCATTTTGCCATTTTCTGAATTATTAAGTGACTTTTAAAACAATGAAACTTTAAATATGGTAAAAGTTTAAACAGAAATAATACTTTCAAAAAACATTTGATATTATGTATTTAAAAGATATTTGTTTAACAATGTTTTAGAAGTCTAAAATTAAGAAGGAGTACACAAACGAACGTACATCACTTCTCGTAAACCTTCTAGCCGGCAACGTTGTGCGCTAGCTCCTATTGGTCTATTCCCGGTGACGTCATAAATTTTAAAAAAATTCATAACTCCGGCAAATGAATAGATAAAAAAAAAATAAAAAAAATGTAGTTTTATTTTCAACTCTATTATTCATAAAAAAAATTTCAAAATTTTTGAACATGCCCCATTGTGAGAAAAACTCTGAACCTACCTGCCAAAGTGTAAAAGTCGTCTAACTCACACTTTAAAGCCTAATAAATTGTGATAGGTTTTCCTAATTAATTAAACAGAAGAAAAGGTGTACTGTTTGGATTGATTGTTGAAACCGGCACTGTATGCTAGTCTTAATATTCCGATACCGATACTGACTATGTATGTAAAATTAAGGATGTTATTGTCAAAGTATCTTGTCACTGAATATATTTCTAAAAACTGTCTATTGTAATTTTTGCTTTGTTGTGTTTGCATATTGTTAAGAGTTAGATATATATTTTGTTTACTATTGAGAACACTATGTATACTACGTTTATTTATATAGTATATTGTAGTTACCGTTGAACGTTTTAGTTGAAATATACCTTCCAAAAAGTCAGTCTAGTTTTTATAAATGCTTAAAATATCTTCTCATCAAACGTATATCATAACAGGTTATGTGCCCAGATAACGCAAGAAGGTATTAGGTATAAGTATAAGGAAGTAAAAGTAAAGTAAAAAAAATACATATGTACATACTGTCAATGGGATTATAGTTATACTAAA